AATGATGTAATTAAAATAATCCTTAATTCTGGAGATGAAAATGGTCCCCGAACATATTTAAATTGCTTCTTGCACTTATAGTCTTATTTCATTCTTTTTTTTCATTATTTAGAGAATACTTTATTAGTTTCTGTAATCAAACCCATGTAGATATGACCTTACATATTTAATACAGTGTATTATCCCCCCCCAAAAAATAACATTTCTAGACCAATATGGCTGTCCATTTCTGTACAATGCCAACTCAACACAGTAAATTGGGATAACTTTTTCCAAAGTTGACAGCATCGTTAAAGTTTCCAAAAATTCAAATTATATATATATGTATATCTATATATTTATATTTATATAAAAAGACCAATAATAGCAGTATGTTATGCATCGATAGCAGCAACAGCTTTTCCAGGTTCTGCAGTCATCTGAACAAAATTATAGACATTCAGCACATTGCATTAAAAAAAAAACAATAATATCCAAAAGTTCTGTTGCTGTTGTGGTACCTGGCACCATTTTTTTTATTAGCATCTTAATCATCATCTGGAAAGAGAACATTCTAGAGTAATATCATTAAATATAGCTCTGATAAAGCATGGTCACTACTATGTATCTGAACAAATATAGACATTCAGCACATTGCATTAAAAAAAAAACAATAATATCCAAAAGTTCTGTTGCTGTTGTGGTACCTGGCACCATTTTTTTTATTAGCATCTTAATCATCATCTGGAAAGAGAACATTCTAGAGTAATATCATTAAATATAGCTCTGATAAAGCATGGTCACTACTATGTATCATGAATCAGGTACAAGATATTTTACATTCACAGAGGTATGATACAGTACGGTCCTTTACTTTTAATAAATGAATTATTATGTTCAACAGCCACTGTGCCTGGGAAAAAGATTATCTTTGCAAGCAACCTCCATTTTATAATTTTGGCAAAGCCAATTTAAAAATAATCCCTGAATATAGCTCAGTGAATATAATATCCCTTATAAAATGTAATTTAAAGAAAGGTTGTAGTAAACATTAGATTATCCAATTCTCAGAGCATTAAAACATAAATCTGATTTGAATAAGCAACACTGGAAATATTCTGTAGTTGACATTACAGAAGGTAAGAAGCCCAGGAAGCAGCTGATCTCATTACAGATCTGCCAAGGATAATGTTGCTTATTTAACAGGGTGTACAGAGTTCTTTTTAGTCATAGAGCTCCCTGAAAGAACCATAGGATTCATCCAATTGAGTGAAGCCTGGGAGATTCAGGCCAGGTTTGAGTAAAGATACATGGATTAAAGTATCGACTGAAATTATATTCAATTATGTTTATATAATTGTTCTTATTCTGTAACAAGATTTTACAGCAGAACTGGCTATTCTCACCAAAGTTGAACCATGAAAACCTTTATAAAAATTAGATCACAGCTGATGCACAATTTCACCATTGCTCTTTTCCAGTGTTTTTCCAGTCTGTCTGGTCTGAAGTCACAAATGCAGCTTTGCTTGCATGAATCCTCTTAGCTCCCCACCTTTTCTGTTTAGCTAAACACACAAATGCACAAATGCATAATCTGTATCTCATGGAAATTGAAGTAAATAATGCCTGTGGAGTGTTTGGCATATTGCCTAGAACATAAAAATCATATTCAATAAATAAGAATATTCATGGGCTCTCTTAATACTATTACAATATTTAATCAAATTCTTTCCCCCGTAACTGTAATTAATGGGTACTCCAATTTTCCACAAAATGAAGAACCCAAGAATCTCAGATATTAATTAACTTACCCAAAGTTGCAGTTACTAAGGAGCAGAAATCAGAGTTTTACTTTCATATGAGGCTTTTACCTTTAGCTTTCCAACCAATAAGTTATGACTATGAGGTTCACAATAATTAGTATCGCAGCTACATAGAAATCCCTACCTATATTTAGTTTCTACAGCTTTTATAGGGTATAATTATGCTAAGAGGAATTAAAGACATTTTTAGAGCTCTTATAAATTTAGGAAACTGTGTTAATAACTATAGATGGACTTATTACCTAGTACCTGATCTCGCAGATCAAGTTTAAATGTCAGGACCAAATTTAAAGAGATGTCAAATTTTGATCATTTTATATGTTTACAATCAGTGTGTTTGTATAAAAGAGAACACCTGTTTGTTACTCTTTCTATATTAAACTTGTGTAGTCCTACTAAAATTACACAGTCTTAATCTATAAGCAACTTTAAAACTTAATCTCAGTAAATGTATATATATTTATACCCAAATATATGTTATGTCATAAAAGAAAATGATAATTGTTTAACCAATCATAAGCTGGATTACTGAAAACAATTTATAGGTTGGGATTCAAATACTGTCTTAAAGCTCACTTTTAATAATCAAAAGCCTAACAATGAGAACACAAGAAAATATTTTGGTAAAATATAGAACCTTAGCTTTTAAATCTAGTTTTGTAAGTTTAATCAAGAGCATCTCAATATCTTCAGAACCATATTGCTTTAGACATAGAAGACTCAACCTTTTAATTATACCCTAAATAATTACTCCAGATGACTAGTCATAACAGTTAACACTTCTAAGCTACATACATACATATATGTATATATATATAATAGTATATACTATTATATATAATATATATTATATACTATAATAGTATATACTGTTATAGCATTATGTTATATATATATATTTGACCAGGGAAAACTCTGTAGTTACTGTGCACTGACAATAATAGATATTGCATTTATAAAACTAATTCTTTTTGTTTTATTTTTTGGGGTTTTGCTTTTGTTTTGTTTTGTTTTTTGAGACAGGGTCTCACTACGTAGTTGAGACTGACCTGGAACTGACTATGTAGCCCAGGCTGGACTCAAACTCACAGCGATCCTCCTGCCTCATCCTCCCGAGTGCTGTGATTACAGGCATATGCCACCACACCGGGCATTTTTTTCTTTTTTTTATACCAGCGATCAAACTCAGGACCTTGCGCTTGCCAGGCAGGCAGCAGAATCACTGAGCTAAATCCTATAAAACTAATTCTTGATATTGTCTTGTGTTGTCTGACAACCCAAAAGAAATACATTACCAACTTTAAAAGCGTCTTTACTCTTACTGTGAATTGAAATTAGCTTGTGGCTAGCTTGGTAACGTGTTCTGGACAGAAAACATACCAAGAGAGAAGCAATCCTCTGGGAATGGGGCCCCATGGTGGCTCTCCCTTAATACCTGCTGTTACTAACTCTCGGTGCCCCTAGGGATGCTTTTGTTCTATCCTTGAACTCATCTGTGCTTTAAACCAGTCTGCCTGCCCTGTGGAGCAGCATTCTTGAGGGGAGAGGGAAGTGAAGGGAGTTAATTCCCAGTTCTGCCTATGGGCAGAAAGGCTGATAAATTTGGACTAAACTTTTACATTTGAGGATTAAGTCTAGACCAGCTTTTAAAAATATGTCCTGGGGATAAGTCAGAGTTAATAATGGTGGCCAGTTTTATCTGGAAGGGTTGCAGGGAGGGGGGAAATCGCAATTTTAGAAACCTGGTCCTGGAATCCAGTAGCTACAGAAGAGAATTAATTGCCTTGGACAAAACACTGCTACTGTATATTGCATTATCTCAGAGCATGGACAAGATAAAAGAATGACCCTGTGCATGGCACAAAAATCAAATCCTGGCCATTTCTTTGTTCAAGATCGAAACCCTTTCCAAAGGTGGATATGCAGTCCTTAGCAAAGCACATCTCCTAAGACAGAAGCTACAGTTGACTCTAGTAAACAAAGAACCTGAATGAATGACTGTTTAACCTTCTGAGAGAGAGCAAGAGAGAAAAAGGAAATCAAAGGACATATTGAAGATGCACCTTTAAACTGTATTGTTTTGGGCTCATAAATATGTGTACGTTTGAAAGTAGCTCACTGTGGTGTCACTCGGACATCAGTTCTCCATTTATGTCTCAGGATTAGTCTCTCTCTTGCCAGTTTTATGAGAAACCCTTGCCCAAGCACCAGATCAGCTAAAACCTTCATGTGTTCCTTCCTGGATGAGCATGAAATCGAATTCCCTTCAAACCTAGGAATTGGAGTTATTCAGTCTGTAAAGGAATACCTATCTTCAGTACCCTTATAGATGAGCACTCATTTTTTAAGGTTCAGAAGCCTTCAGTTGGAAAGGGAAAGGATACTGGTAACATCCTTACTGAGGTGATCTTCTAAAACCTGTGCCTTAGCCTCTGGCTTAATCCTCAGACACACTCACACTATGCAAGTTGTCAGGCAAAATCATTCCAAAAAGTTGTATGTAATAGGGGCCCAAGCCATCTTATAACCAACCACCAAATGAGTCAGAAATACAAATAAAAGCCATCACAGCTCAAACTTTTTATCATTTTGACCAAAAAAAAAAAAAAAAAAAAAAAAAAAAAGCATACAGAATCAACAAAAGACACAAACAACCACCAAACAACAGGTGGCAATTTTAATTACCTAAAGAGTCACAATCCAGAATCTCGTCACATTATTTAGAAGTTCCAAGAAACAAAAGCAAACTCTTAGCTCTTTCTAGTTATCTTGCTGGGACCTTCAAAAGGATATAGGAGAAATAATAACTGCTGACCCATTAGATGTCAAATATGCCAAGTTCTAAATTCAGCAACACCAGTGATGAAGTCCTGAACCAAAGGAAGAAGTTAGAAGAGTTTTATTGGCAATAAGGGGAGAACAGCCCCTGGATTTCCAAGAGGAATCCCTAATGGGGTGGCCCTTTGGCAGGGGTAGTTTATACAGCAAAGTCACATCGCAAACACACTGTGGGTCAAACTGCAATCAACCTATAGGGTTGCAAGTATAGCTGCTCAGCTAATCTTTATCCAATAGGGAACAAAGTCATGCAGCAAGGGTTCATGGAAGGGTACATTTTGGGGAAGGGAAGGGTCCAGATGCTCTGGTCACCTACCTAGATGTCTGATACCTATCTGGGCTTACTGGACCAGGGAATGCTAATTCTAGTATCCCTTAGTGAGTCATGTAGGCCTGGCCCTTGCATCTTCATCTTGAGGCCTCCTCTTCTTCAGATATGCCCAATCTTGATGGTTTTTTTTGTTGTTGTTGTCGTTGTTTTTTGTGTGTGTGCTGACTTCCTTTGGGGCCTAATCCCTCTCTAACTGTATATTAGCTTCTATCTAACTTGGCTGCCTATAATAACTTGACAGCTCTTAGTAAGAATAGACCCTTTAAAAACAGATTAGTAAGAGATTAGTAAGAGCAAACACATAGAAGCTTAATTACATGTATACCTCATGTTAAAAAAGTGAGAAGATCTCAAGGTAACTTCAAACTTAAGGTTAAATATGATGGTTTCCTGGTTTCAGCTACCCAATCAGCCACCGTCTCTAAATATTAAATTAAAAATTCCAGAAATAATTCATAAGTTCTGAATTGAACACCATTCTTAGTATGGCAGTGTACTTTAACCCAGCTAGGACATGAATCATCCTTTTTCCAGCATATCCAGGCTTGCATGCAGAACCTAGGGTTAGCCGCTTAATTGGTCTCTGCAGACCACTGTGAATTCTTAGTGCTTGTGTTCAGATAATCCTTATTTTACCTAACAGTGGAGAGCAAGAAGAGTGATGCTGATAACTGGAATAAACCAAAGGGAACCCCCAAATGGCTTCCTTTAAATGATAAATTTCTTAATTTAACAAGATATATAATGAGAATAAATCTTCTACCCATGAAGTTATAAAGAAGAAAAAAGAAATTTTGGCTAATTTTGTCGTCATATTCAAACAGCGAAATTACAGCCACCATGCATGATAAATAGAATTAAAATGGCATTACATTTGAACAAGAAAAACACAATATATGCAGGGTTCTGTACTGTGCACAGTTTCAGGCATCCTGTGGAGGTATTGGAAAGTATCCCTTGCATGTTAGGGATTTATCTATCTTATATTACTTGTATCTATTGAAACTTAGAAAGAATAGGAGGAAGATCCAGTTAGGAGAAGGAAACCAGGAAGAGCAGAGTAAATAGGGTCGTGTTTGTTTTAAGTCAGTCCCTTCTCCGGTGATCAGTCTGTTAGGATTTAGTCATTTTTCTTTTCTAATACCAAGAGGGAGATACCCTTACAAATGAAAATTTCTTTGTAGATACAAATTTCCCTTATGAAAGAGTAACTTCTACTTTGTTTGCAGAGTTTCTCCTGTGTTTGTACTTTCTCAACATAATGAGCTGAAAATAATCCTTATGACAAAGAGGCATATTTTGGGGTGGGATATTCTAGTCTTCTACAGTGCATAAAAATGTTTTATAAATAGAAGGCAATCTAAACTAGAAATTTTCTTTTCCCACTTAACAGAAAAATCACCAAATGTTTGATGCTTATTTTGAGAGCAGAAGAACAGTGTTCATTCACTTTCGGACTAGTTAAATACAGTTTCTTGCATATCTATGTAATGATACTTGGTGCTATTTCATCAAGTGTCTAATAGTCGATAAAGTGAGAATAAATATGGAAAAATTGAGTTATACAATTGCATCAAAAATATATTATACTGTTTACACAGCATTGGAGAGCATGGAAGGGTATTACTATAGAGACAATGTTTCAGTGGAAGAATTTCAAGCTCAGATAAATGCAGCTTCATTGGAAAAGGTCAAGCAGTACAACCAGAAGCTCAGGTATGTAGCCTCTACTTTTTACTTTTTAACATAAGTTTCTGTATTTTGAACATGTGATAAAGACTTGTGACATTTTTATTAGATGATTATTAGTGATATTTATTTTGATATAAATTCTTCTTGTATAATGTTTTAAATATCCTAAAGGGCTGTACTTGTAGTAAATAAAATAATCAAGAAAAAATATTTCTAAATGTTTCATATTATTTTGCTTCTAAAGAAGATAAAGGAAAGAAATTAAATATATAGTAGGCCATTTCCAGGGGGAAAAGTCTTTCCATTTTAGAGTGATGTCCACAAGGAAGCTTAGCGAATGGATTCCTTCCTGTACTATTAAACAGCCAGCACCTTCTCATGAGGACAAGAGTATGTGCCACATGAAGACAGGACAGGCTATATGCTTGGTATTGGAAAACATGTTCTTTCAAGTAGATATATTGATATTGGAATTTAGCATGTTTTTCCTTTAAAAATACTGGAGGATAAATAACAGGGAAAATTAACCACAAATAGTAGAGGGGAAATGTATTACAATTGAGAAGCTTTAAATGTTAGTATTTATTAGTATATGTGTCTTCCTCCTATTTTACAGATAACCTTGTTGACAGATCCATATTTGAAATTACTTGACCCAATTTATTTATTTATTTATTTATTTTACAGTAGTAGAGATTCAACTCAAGACCTCACACATGCCTGGCAAGAGCTCTATCACTGAGTTGTTTTTTTTGTTTTGTTTTGTTTTGGTACTGGGTATTGAACCCGGGTCCTTGCGCTTGCAAGGCAGGTGGCAGCACCACTAAGCTAAATCACCGGCCCTCAGATATTTTTGAAAGAAATTGGTTTTCTCTACTCTGAGTTCCAATCAACAATACACATGTGGCAATTTTGTTTTTTTGTTTATACTATAGCCAAATTGTGAAGATAAATTAATAATGCCCAACACGGCCCGTGTTGCTTCTGACCAATGATTAGGCTTTCTTCTGCCAAGAATGCTTTGCCTCTTTCTCTGTCTTACAAACCTGTCCTGTCTCCCAGGTTCTCTACATGCATCATCTCTATCATCTTCTGAAGCTCTCAGACTCAAATCCCGCAGATCCTTTTTGATTATTAATTCTCTCTTCCTCTTCAAATGTAGTTGAAGATCCTGATGCTTCTGACTGTTCTATCACCGTTTTAAATCATTATTTCTCAAAGGCATGCAATAAACTGACTTTTCATGAGAAAGAAAAAAATAACCTTTAATTCTGACCAGTACGCCTCCTGAGTAACAAACAGTGGCTTATGCAGCTTAAGTCACAGAGGAGAAGTTGCCTTCATAACTGATAAAATCTGTTTCAGTTACCTTTCAATGGAGAATCCAAAATTATAGCACTTGTGTAGAATGCATGGCCCTAAGCATATAAACTTTGACACCAGTTTGAAATTAGATAATTGCTGTAGCTTCCCAACTAATCTCCTGACCTCTGAGCACAGATGTTATTTTAATCTCAGAATTTTGCTTCCATAACATGTCATCTTTCTGCTCTAAGGACTTTGAGGATTTCTTGCTGCCTCCAGGAGTCCCAAGGTTCTTAGCATGGCAGTGAAGACTTTTTATGACTTCACCCTACCCTTTTTCCTATGGGTCAAGTTCTCATTTCTAACTATGCACAGTATATAACCTGCCCTTTTTCATGACTTCTTATCCATCTCCAGCATCTGCTTTACTCTATTTCCAACTGTTGATCAAACTATACTTAGGATTCAATGTCTACTCTGGTAGATTCACCATCATAAAATAACTTTTAAAAAAATTTTAATGCTGGAGTGAACCCCAGGCGCAAATATTTTTAGAAGCTCCGTAGGAGATTTGAATGTAGAGCTGCAACTGAAAACCAGTCCAAAGCTCTCAAAGGATAACCCTCAGCATCAGTATCACCTGTCAACTTGATAACATCTTTTGGGTAGGCCCAGAAATCTGAGTTGCAACAAGCTTTTCTGATTATTCTTTTACTCACAGTCAAATTTCAGAACCACTGTCTCACCCCTTCTTATCAGATCCCTCTTCCAGCTTTTCCTTTTATTTTATGATTATTATCGAATTCAGGTTTTCTTCTTGATAATACAGTTATGTGTACAGATTTCTCATCTTTATTGCAGTATAAGTTCTTTAAGATGAGGAATAAATTTATATTGATGCGCCCAAAAATGTGTGCTTAATTACATTAAAGTATTTAGGTATAACTAGCAGAAGAAGTAAGGATGTAACATACCATTTTCACCCTGTGGATCTTTGTTTTTAACAGAGATGCATATTCATTTAAAGATAAAATATGTTTATTAATGTTTCTTTATTAATAAAATAGCATATTTATTAATTATTGTATTCCAGTAAGAAAATATTTCAAGAAAAATTTCCTTGAGAAAGCATTTTTAAAAATTATAAACTCTTAGCACATATTAGGTGCCCTTGCCAGCAATGACCGATTTCCTTTGCACATGAAACAGTTGTCTTCCTCCTTATTTCCAGTACTGCATTCTCTTCCTTTTCAATAAGGTGTTAATTATCCCTTAAGGTTTTTGTTATTGTATAAGTTCAAACACTTCTAAATTTTTTGTGCACAATTTGTTCATAGTTTGCAGAGCCACAAGCCAACTTTGTCGTTTCTAGGGGCACTTAACTGCTCCCCTTAAAATCTAGCCCCAAGGTGTCAGCCTTTCCTCATAAGCCTAGTGGCTTTTTTCACACTTTGACGGAAAACCATTTTATCCTGGACATTAATTAATTTACTAACTGGAGCCTTTTTATCCCCCATAGACTTATAATAAAAGTATTGTTTGACTAGAACACAGTCTTTAGAGTAAAAATTTTAGAAACCAAACTCAAACTGGCATAAGAAAAAATAATGCCTATCTAAAATAATAAAAATAATGCATATCTAATGTGGACATCCAGGGCTGTGTGGTTGATTCTTAGCACACTGTTTCTCTTGCCATCTGTTGGTGCTCCTTTTCTTTGTGTGGGCTTCATTTTCAGCTCCAGTTTAGCCTTCTGTTTGTGTGAAGATGGTCCCTACAGACCAGTGTTACATTTTCAGAAGAGAAGGTGCTCTCAACCCCATCAGCATCAGCAAAAGACCTGGGAGGTGCTCATTAGCCAAAGCCAGGTCACCTGCTCATTTCTGAGTGAGCTCAGCACCACAGACCAGAGGGAGGACACTGGACAAGCAGAAATCAAGGATACTGCTCTTGTTAGAGAAATTGCTCCAGGACAGCCAAGAATACATGGGAGTCATTTCTACTTAAAAGGGAATGATAATCAGAATTGTATTAAATAAAACACCTTCACAACAACTAGATGAATTATGTAGACTGCTTAAAAATCCTAATGAGTTCCATGTGAGCATTTCCAATTTAAAGGGAGCTTAAGGTTACCTAGCTAATAACTGATGAAGCCAGAATTTAAGTCAAAGACACTTCTTTTCTGTAATGTCTATATTTTTATACTGTACAAGGCCATCCCAGTGAATAGAATGAATGCGTATTTCACACAGAAAACATACACAGACAACGAACTCTCTGTTGCTGTATATCGGTGTCAGATATAACCTGCTGCTCCCATTTACTCTGATTCTGGACCGTCGGTAGCTCATTCATCCTGTGTACCCAAAGTTTCCATTTTTGTGGAAATGGGTAAGACAGGAAATAAAAGAGTAAACAAATCATAAACAAAATATTTAAGATTGTGAAAGTTATAGTGAAGGAAATATAAGACAAATTTACACCAAGAAGTTGCTAATTCAGAAGGAGAAGAGAAGCTAAGGATGACTAAGTATTAAGTGAGTTTTAAACATTAGCCTGAATCGTAAGGAGAGAGTCTTGCCCAGGCACAGGAGAAAGTTTTTCCACAAACACTGAATTGATGCCTACACATAACGGGAATAGGCCTGTCATGTTAAAGTAAGACAAAAGAAAAAACCACTTTGTTTTTGCACATAAAGAGGAATAATCCTTGCTGAGAATATGGGCCAAGCCAGAGTAGGGCCCAGTTGCAGCTCTTGTAAAAATTCTGGATTTAATTGTAAGCACAATGGAGAAGCCAGTAGAAAATTTTTATTGAGTTAATATTGTCCTTTTGTATTTTCTGCATCAACTGCAAGCAATATTCCAAATGGCTGAAGTTTTCACAAGGCAGTAAGGCATTAGTGAAGCGAGCTGAGACCAGCTGGCTGGCCTGACCGTTTCCCTGCAGTCTCCTGTGGAAATACAGATTGAGAACTTTTGGGGAGCCCTGCCACCGATGTGGTGACCCCGATCCTAGTTTTCTGAACATACATTAGTTTAGCTGTTTCATTTATGAACAAGGCTGAGAGCTAGGAGAAGTGTTTCACCGCTGTTCTAAAATATAACCTCCCTCCTGGGCCAAGTCAGATAACATTTTGATTGATTTTCTTCTGCTTATTGAAGAGGAACAGCATGTAAAGTGTTTAACTGGAATTCTGACAGAGAAATTTAGGATTGTGGGCATTGTTACCCTCTCCCTCCACCATCTCTACCTGACTCTAGTGGTTTTTTTTTTTTTCATATTTAAAACTTTCCTTTTTATTTCCTCTGGCCATGAGCCATCATTGCCATCAGCATCATTTTCCCCTGTCCACTTAAGGGTGATTTATCATTACCAAGCCCTTTCATTTTAATGCATGCTCTTTATTGGCAAAAAGCACCACTACAAAGTGACTGATGAGATAAATTGTAAATGTTACTAAGTTTTCAACGTGACTAAAGTGGTCCTTGCAGTTTCAGGAGCCTAGAATACTATTTTTAAATACATTTTTTTGTATAAAGGAAATAGTGAAATAAAACAAAAATCAAAAGGAAACATTATATATTAACTATTAGGCTCATTTATTATTTTTATGAAGTGACAGCTTCCTACTGAATTTTTAGTGCTTATTATTTTGGGCTACCTAAATGTAAATTAATCAGATTTTCAGGTAGAAAAAATTATTCAAAGCAAA